CCCCCCCCCCCCCCGCCCTGAAACAGGCAGCGGGCGAAAAGGCGGGAAAATAATTACTACAAACAAATGAGCACAAACCCCACAGAGAGGGGGCGGAATTATCGGTATTCCTAATGAAACACTGCCGGATTAAAACACTTCTGTCGCCTGGAGTAATTTCTTCCCTCTAACGCCTCTGTGGCCGCCCTCGGCCCCATTGAGAACCACCCGCCCCTGAAACTGAACTGTTTGGGTTTTTTTTTTTCCCCCCATGTTTGCAAACATTTCTGCTCCCGAGTGAAATACGCAAACACCCCTGGGGCTGCCTGAGCGCACCTGCCCTCATTACTATGTCCTGAACCCCCTTTTAATCCCAGTAAGTAGTGGCATTTGACTGAAATCAGGCTTTTAAAAAATAATTTTAAATAGTAAGAATTATAAATTATTTTTTTTTCCTTTTTTTTTCCCCTCAGGGACACGGAGTGGGGTGTTCCCCGGAGGCAGCGGGGACTGTTTGCCCCACAGCCCCCCATTCCTCTGCTGCTCCCCTCAGAGGCAGCCTGCTGGGGGCCTCGGCCGGGGGCTGCCAGCGGGGAGGGAAGTTCCTTGAGGTAAAAAATTGCTCATAAAGTGTTTTCTGTAAGTAGGCATCGACCGCGAGAACTTCTCCATCACCCGTGTGTAGGTCTGGGGGTGCGGGTCCCCATTTTCAGCCTCCTAGCCTTAATTTTGGGGGAGAGGGGCTGTGGAGGGCTGAGGAGAATGCGGCCTAGCTCATCATTTGGCCTAAAGGTCTGTCATAGCGTGGCTAAATCCAGCCCAAAAATGCAGATAAAAGGCCAAATATCATCCACTCCCTCAAATACTGCAGTCCGAGGATCAAAAACAGCCTGGGCTGAGGAAAAATAGTGGGTGCTGGCATTTCCCCTCTGAAGGCACAAGCCCGAGCCGTCCCTCCCTCACAACAAAGAAATCCCTGTCGCCATCAGCAGTGGGGTCAGGATTCCCCAAGATTTGCTTTCCACTCACGATTATTCACCGATTTAAATGCTTACAGGACTGGTTTGCACTAACAATCTGATATAGAGCCTTCAGCACAAATAAAAATATGTTTTCTGTAAATTGTCAGTGTAGGCCAGGGGGTAACAAGTACTAACATAACTCCATGGCTGCACTTGGTGCTCTAAGGTTTGTCATCCGTCGCTAAAACTCATAGTTTTTATTTGCACTGACAAGGAAAAAGGGAAAATTGGGGGAAGGGGGAAATAAAAAAGGAAAAACAAAACACCTGGTGAGTTAATATTTGAAGCAATTCATTTTATGCGCTCTGTGAGGGAGACAGGGAAACGGAAATGTTCCAAACCAATCTGCAAAGTAAACAACCTTTTGCAATAAATGTTTGCCAAATGCTAACACAGGGCTCAGAGAAATATCAGGGCAAAAGTGCATCCATTAGCGGGAGTTTAGCGACTGCTTAAGGACAAGAAACATTCTAGAGCCGGTTTAAAGTTGAGGCTTTCTGCCTTGTAAACAAATTAGCTTGTAGCAACAAATAAGATGACCCTTCTCGGCTAATATTATGAGTTCAGCTTGTTAAATATTTAACGTTTACCTTTCAATTTTCCAGTCTGGATTAAGCAGTTCTCTAAACAAGCGGTGTCCCAGCAGCAGATGGAGATGCACAGACCATTGCCCCGCTCTGGCTGAGCTCCCTAAGAAATAAAAAAAAAACCAACCACATTAAGTCAAAGAGGAAGCAAATGGGAGCTTTCACTAAAAGTCTCTAAGCTTTGGCTTCGAAACTGGCTGCTTGTACTCATTTTTATTTACGTTAATTTTATGTAGCTCTGCTTTACATTAAAATAGTGGTAGTCGATTCAACTTCAATCAAGTTGAACAGGAACAGGCTGGAATTGGCTGAGCAGTTCTGAAAACCTCCCTCGTGGCAAAGTATTTCTTTTCTTCCATATAACACAATCGCAGACCCGAGGTAAGATTTAAAAAAAAAAAAAAGACCTGAAAAGGCCATAAATCCTTACAGTACAGTCCTGCTCTGAAGACAGTACAGTGAGTGGGGGAGGAAAAGAAAGTATCATAGGATTGTAACTTTTTTTCTAAAGTAAGAATGGGAAATATCTGTTAGATATAGCCTTAGCTTAGTGGTGGTCTGGTTTTAAACGGGAGCGGGGCTGCTGTATATGCTGTACACAAGGAATTTAAGCTGTCTCGAATCCACAGTTGTGGGTGTAACGTTTCCACTGACTCCAGGCTTTGCTTTCTTTCCTTTTAGAAGATAAACATTTCTTCATATGACCCTGTGTTTATCTATAGGTGGTTTCCTGATTGTCCTTAAAGCTGTTACACCAGTTTTCTGTCTGGTGCTTGAATCGCGTAAAAGCCTAACAAAGCACTAATTTTAGCAGCAGTTACATTCGCTCGTCAGGCTCGTGAAAGTTTAAACTCCAAGCTTGTCTAGCTAGCTGGAGCTGGACCATACCTTAAATTAAACATGCTTCCAGTGAAGTATCACTTCCTTAATGGTACAATGCAAACTCTATCCAGCGCCCAGGCACATGGCGGCCAAACCCATTTGTAACACTGTTAATTAAATGCCCCACATTCTCCCAGTTGTCAGGACAAACACAGTGCTCCCATTGTGGATGCGGTAATTTCGCTCAGTGGCGCATTAGAGAGAGGTCTGGCTTGCGTGCTTTGGTAATAAATATGAAGGACGTTTGGAACTTGTTTTCTGTAATTTTTTTGTAAATTTTTAATCTTTGGAACAATGAGGTCTATTCTCTGAGCGTTATTTCCCACTGATGGTAACTGGGATGTTGCGCTGCAGCTTGGACGGGTTCCAGTTGTGTTACTACCAGCGCTGCCAGCTCTTGTAATTACACTGCAGCACTCACTCTCTTTGGCAACCTCCCTGCAGCCTCAGCTGCTGGAATCAAGAAACAGTATGAAAAAACCTCAGTTAAAAAAAAAATTATAATAATTTTAAGAGGCAGCGAGTCAGTAAGTCATTGTTGCCTGACAATGTGAAGCCCAGCTATCCTAGAGACTCAGAAACCAGAAGGCAAATCAAAGATAATATGTTTATTGATCTTTTAAAGCTCATTAATTACTTTTCAGACCCTCATGATTTTGGGAAAGCCTGGATCATTGACTTTTTTCACATTGCAATACTATATAATTTATTTGTATGTCACATATACAGCCATTAAATGCAATGAAGCCATGGATCAACTTAAATGCTGCAGGAAAATATGGTTTGAACCATCGCTTTGTTACTTTTAATCTTTTCTTTGGTCATATGCAAGCATGAATAAAAGTAATTATCACTCTAAAGCAATTAAGTAACATGAAAATAATTTGAATAGGATACTTGTAACTTTTTACTCTCCCATTGAATAACTGGAGTAACAAGGGAAGAGAATGTTATTAATTACTGTAGCTTTTACCATCCCATAGACTTCCTCAAGAGTTTCCATCTAGAATTGTCTTCCTGACTTTCTGATGTCCCTCTCATACGATGCCCCCGTGGCTTTTATCTTCTCCTCCTCTAAGATCAGCCGAGTAATCTATTCTCTGAGGCTTGGAATTAGAAAATTATTTAGTAAATTGCATGTCATAGCACTGAATTACCTATGTATGAGACAAGATTTTCACACTCCATTGCTGTGTCTACAACGGAGAGATTCCCTCTTAGCCTAGTTTTGGGCATAGTATTTCCCCGACTTTGAAAACAGGATTTTCATGTTTTCTCCCCAGGTTAAAGTTTATGGGAGGAACAACACGATGACATCCACCGCCAGGACCAGCTACACCTCGGCTCCTCACCAGAAACACCGGCGCAGCAGCCATCGCTCCAGGCAGTGCGGCAACGCCGCCGACACAGATTCCCAGTCTCTGTCAACACTCGGGTATTTTAAAACACTTCCATTAGAGATCTTTCAAATGGTACTGAAATATCTTTCAGGTGAGAATCCGATAACAAAGGTATCACTTCCAGTATCTGAAAATTACCACAAAAGTTTCCCATTCAGAAAAAGACATTGTTGTTTAAAATGTTTTACCTTTTAGGTGGTTGAAGTCACTCTGTGTGACTTTATTCTCTGAATCTTCAGCTACTTCCAGTATCTGAAAATGACCACAAAAGTTTTCCATTCAGAAAAAAGACATTGTTGTTTAAAACGTTTTACCTTTTAGGTGGTTGAAGTCATTCTGTGTGACTTTATTCTCTGAATCTTCAGCTTTTATGTGTGAAGAAGAAAATGACCAAAATGTAAATGATAATTACAAACTATTTGAAGTGGGGTTTTTTTGCATGTTATGTGTGAAAACTATTCCTTAGATCTGTCCATTTCTAATTACTATGGTTTGTTGGCAGAGGAGATAAACAGTAATTAAATTTTGTTTTATTTGTAAATCTTATTTCTTGGTCTATTTTTGAAGTAAGATGAAGTTATTGACTAGTGATCAGCATTTTTCTTGCAGTGAAGATTTACAAGTATTCTGGGCTTTGCTTTTTTCAGTGAAGGATATCAGCATGCTGAGCATGGTGTCGAAAACCATCAGCAACCGCCTTATTAATTACATCTCAACCCCGTCAGGAAACCGAAGGCTCTTATTGCAAGACTTTCATAACCTTGAGCTACCCGGCAAGAGAGAAGGATCCTATATTTTAGAGCACTACAAATCTCTAGGTGATCCTTTAATGCAGATGGTAACAATTAGAGGGCAACTGAACTCGGTTAAAAGGTTTCTTCTGTTATATGCATTGATTGGTAAAACACTGAGGATATGGCCCAAATCATTCACTTTGAGAGGGAGCTGAGTGAAGTTCCTCCCCATACCATTAAGTCGCGGGGGGAGGTGGGAGGAATTACCTGAAATGATTCCAAAACCTCTTAGTTATGGAAAAAATAATGTGTGTTTCTGCCTCCTCTGTGGTTTTTCTTTTTTTCACGTGAAACGGCGAGCAGGGCTGGGGCAGAGGATCAGTTCTCAGCAGTAGGTGTTTCCAAATTTACTGTGTTTGGACACCACTGCTGGAAACTGCAGCAGAACCCACAGCTCCCAGGCCTCATGGTAGCTGCAGGAATCTGGCTGCTTGGGCCACCTCCGTGGATCCCTCCGGAGCAGCTCACATTCCTCCCTCTGGGAAATGCAGCCTGATGCTGAAGCAACCAGCAACAGTTGCCCTCGGAAACCCTGCCTGAGTCTGCTTGAGATGTGCTGCAGATCACATTCCTCTGCTTAGAAAAGAACTAAAAAATGTTATCCCAGTTGTCAGTGACTCGCATCCTCCTTGGCAGCTTTGTATCAAAGTTCCAAGGCTGAAATGGGCACGAAGAACACATTTTCCTCTCACTCTTAGCTTAAGGGCAATGTGACAATGTCTGCACTTGTGCTGTCACGGTGTACTGTGTGCTTTCGGGCTGAAAAGATTCCCTTGGTCTTTCTCTCAGCTGCTCAGACCTCTTTTGGCCCAGCGTAATAGAAATCTAGATCAAAATACTCTGAATTTGATGGTAATAAGGAGTGCTGGACATCCTCAAATTCAAAATTGTTTGCTTTTTACCTTTTCCATTGATTCTAAGTCATTCGGCCTCTCACTCAGAAATGCTGCCTCGTGCATCTGGAATGCTGAAAATTGCCTTCACCCACCCATTATCAGTGTTCTTCCATCAGAAGCAGAAAAATTAAATCCTAATTTGGTCCACACCAATTTACTGTTACCTAGCTGATTGAAAAAGATTGTTTATTTGACAGAGAAATAAAATGCCCCCATGGTTAGATGCAGAATTATAAGTATGGTTTGAACGGAAGACATTAAGTAAAGGCATACATAAGGTAAAGGAACACTGTTAAAATCTTTTAGACCAAAGACCTCCTACTGTAAGCAATCTCTGTAGTTTTTGAGGTATTTAAAAAATAATCTTAGTGTTTTGTTTTTAAAACAAAGCTCAAAACCCTACAATTCTTTAAAAAAAAAAAAAAAATCAAAATTAGTTTGGGCTTTGTAGTCACCACAATCAAAATGGCAACTTGTTATTTAAATGTAGGCGTGAGCCCATCACTATAGTAGGCCTAGTAGTAAAACTATTCAAAATGTAAAGAACATTGGCAATATCTGTGTCATCGGTGGAAGCCTCAAGAGAACGTTTTTGTTAAGAGGTCAGTTGTAAAATCAATATTTACTTTACGGCAGGAAAGTCTGGACTCAATGGGAAAAAAAAAAAAAAATCATTCCGGCTCAGGGAGCCTGTGCAGGGTCTACATATTGCATAAATCTCACTTAAACTCAGGCTCTGCCTCCTCTCAAGTCCATGGTATCATCTTGTCGGGGGGTCAGAATTTCAGTCATTGTTTAAAACACTTGATGTGGCACGGTCCTTCCTCACAGGGTGGGTTTTGCTGCACAAAACCAGTAGCAGCACCTTTCCCTCAACCCTTTTTACTCAGCATCATTTTGCCCCGCGCCGATGGCTGTGTCCTGACTTGCAGCTACAACCTCGTAACGGTCTCAGCTATCCTTCAGGGAGTTCTCTCCAAAGCCTAGGCCAGTCAATAGAAAATTGACTTGACTGAGCTTTGGAGCATGTCCTGGGGCTGAGGAATAAATTCTGTCTGTCATGTAGGAATGCTAACACACGGCTAAATGGGGAAAGAGCCCATTTAGAACCACGGTAAATGCATAAAGTACTTTTCAATGTTGGAGAAGTTACGTGGGTTTTGGGAGACTGACAAAAATTCAGAAAAAAAGTTTCCTCTTTTTTTTTTTTCTCATTCTGGCTCAGGGAGCCTGTGCAGGGTCTACATATTGCATAAATCTCACTTAAACTCAGGCTCTGCCTCCTCTCAAGTCCATGGTATCATCTTGTCGGGGGGTCAGAATTTCAGTCATTGTTTAAAACACTTGATGTGGCACGGTCCTTCCTCACAGGGTGGGTTTTGCTGCACAAAACCAGTAGCAGCACCTTTCCCTCAACCCTTTTTACTCAGCATCATTTTGCCCCGCGCCGATGGCTGTGTCCTGACTTGCAGCTACAACCTCGTAACGGTCTCAGCTATCCTTCAGGGAGTTCTCTCCAAAGCCTAGGCCAGTCAATAGAAAATTGACTTGACTGAGCTTTGGAGCATGTCCTGGGGCTGAGGAATAAATTCTGTCTGTCATGTAGGAATGCTAACACACGGCTAAATGGGGAAAGAGCCCATTTAGAACCACGGTAAATGCATAAAGTACTTTTCAATGTTGGAGAAGTTACGTGGGTTTTGGGAGACTGACAAAAATTCAGAAAAAAAGTTTCCTCTTTTTTTTTTTTCCCCTCCCTCAGAAAAAAAATTCTGTGGATTTCTTGATTAATTAACAAACAAGATATATATATATAGAGAGAGAGATTATTCTGGCAGAAGTTTTGGAAGAACAAGCTGTTAACCCATTTTCTATCAACAGCGTGGAAAAAAATGCTGCTTAACAAACAGCTGTTCCACGCTATAATGAACTCCAGACTTTGACATCCTAAACACATACCATTTCAGCCCTGTATAGGAAAATAATTTTACCTCTTAGCTATGTTTTACATTAACAGGGCTTAGAATATTTTCAGAACATGTGGCTATCTTGAAAAAATTTTGGAAGCTCGGCTTTCCATGATGTAAGGGGAAAAAAAAACAGCGTTCCCCACAGTGCTGTTAAGAGAGGGGCAACAAGTAACATTTATTTCCAATATTTTTAACGGCTGTAATCCTCAAACCAATACAGTCATGTTAACAGGGCTCCAGCTGTGACTAACAGGGACTTTAAAATGACACAATAAATAAGTTACGGCGCAGGAAGCTTGTACACGCCCTGACATTGTCTCTTTACTAAAAGATGGCCCCGCCACAAAAGAACACGCCCCTTCTCCAAAGCACAGATGGCTGTTTGTGCTGCCTTTTTTTCTTTGCCTTCCAGAAGCAGGCAGCTTTTTCGCACTAGTGTGTGCACACGTGTGATGTGAGCACTTCAGCCAATTCAGTAATGTAGAGCTACAAAGGTGACGAGGGGCCTGGAGCATCTCTCTTACGAGGAGAGGCTGAGGGACTTGGGGCTTTTTGGGCTGGAGAAGAGAAGGCTGAGGGGGGATCTGATCAACACCTATAAATACTCAAAGGGTGGGTGTCAGGAGGATGGGGCCAGGCTTTTTTCAGTGGTGCCCAGGGACAGGACAAGGGGAAATGGGCACAAACTTGAACATAAGAAGTTCCATCTAAACATGAGGAGGAACTTCTTCACTGTGAGGGTGGCAGAGCCCTGGCAGAGGCTGCCCAGGGAGGTGGTGGAGTCTCCTTCTCTGGAGACATTCAAACCCACCTGGACACGTTCCTGTGGGACCTGCTCTGGGTGGACTTCCTTTGGCAGGGGGTTGGATGGGATGATCTCCAGAGGTCCCTTCCAACTCCATATCATTCTGTGATTCTATATGTGTTTTCTTCACAGGATTGTTGCTTAAAAGATGCACACTGCTATTGCCCACAAAAGACAGGCTAAAGTATATACACAAGATTCTCTCTGAAGTAAGTTCACGTTCCTTTCACTGCTGTTTGAAATTGTCCCTGAAATACCATTTCTACAAGGCAGTTGTTAGTTGAATTATGCCCTTTGCTGGCCCTTTGCTGCAGTTTATTGCTACCTTGTAATGAATTTATTGATTTGAAATCAGTCTCTTTTTAATAATAATAGAAAAGCCTAAGCCAGCATATTGAACACAAGACTGTTCTGCTGAGATTTCATACTCCGATATCAATGGTTTTCAACTTTTCTAGCACACTACAAATTGAAGAAATTTTGCAGCGGAAGAGCACAGCTCTTCATAGAAATTTTACTCTCCTGAAAACAAGGTTGCTCTTCTTTCCTTAATTTTATACACCCATTGGACCACAGTTTTGAACGTAATGCTAAGCCATAACATGGTACTGTAACTTCTTTCCTTGTACAATAAGGGAAGAGAATCCTTCTGAATCTCTAGTCAGCATTGATGTACACAAGCAGTACAGAGAATTTTCAATTGCAGGAATTAGTTTATGGTCAGTTAAGATAAATTACTGGTGTTTTGCACTTACAGGTTTCCTGTTTTAAGCTTAACGGTTGTGCAAGTCCTTTGCATTGTTTAGGATTACAGTGCTATGGGGTATTTTTACAGGTACAGTATCTTATGGAGAGAAGGCAAGTATCTAAAATATAAAAGAAAATTAAGGTAGCTTTCTAAGTTAATTTGTGTTTTTGCAAGATATTTAGAAGTATAAGATGGTTTTGAGCCTTGGGATGTAGGGGGGAAGGTATTTATTCACACAGTTCCCCAAATTTCCTTTCTGGTTGTTAAAGTTCCCAAGACTCTTGAGAATTCCCTGGTCTGGATTTCACTACCAACCAGTCTGGATTGTGATTAGTGATTTATTATCTAAGAAGACATGGGAGAAGGGGAGCATTGTATTTCACACCTTCAAATTCACAAATCAACAGCAGAGATGGTTTAGTTTAAAAGTGAATGGCTATACACATCGTATACCAGAATATTTTTTTTTAGCTTGTGGTAGCCTAAAATTGATTTAAAGAAAAAATAAATCAGTGTCAAATGAATTAGTTCAGCAATCCACGGCTTATTTACTGTGATGACTGCTGTGATTGCAAATATGCAGTGAAACACTGAGGGTAGGACCTTTTTAACACTACTTGAGGTGTTTTGATTGTGAAGTGTTAGAATTGCCATGATGGAGGCTTTACTGGAGAGTAGCTTTGTTGAGAAAGATACGGAAACAGATTCTCTCTTAGAAGAACAGGCATTTTGAGTACATTTTAAATGCATTTAAGTCTTAGAAACGTGTGCATACAGGCGCTGTATAGGCATTACAGTATTTGGTAATACAAAAAAAAACCCTGTGATTGCCTTTCCGTGGTTAAGAGTTAGGGATAGTTATTAGTGCTGGGACATTTGTCTTTGTAGCAAATACCTTTGTGCACTTTTCCACATAAGGTTCAAAAATAAGCTCTTGCCCCTGAATGTGGAAGGCCATTAGCAGCTTCTGGTTCTGGGCTGCGTTAAGGTTCAGTACAGCCTCTGCCATAATGCTCCACGCTCCAGGTACGACACCTTCCCTCACTGTTCCTCTGATAAAATTGCAGGACAGATCGTATTCTCTAAATGGCATTGTGATCCAAATCGATGGCTCAATCTATTCATTTTCATCCCCTCTCTTTTGTAACCATCAGATCCTAACAGCGGGCTGGGATGAACTGGAGTGTCACCGGGTTTTTAACTTCCTCTGCGAGCTGAGCAATTTACCCCGTAAAGTACAGACTGTTGTCAGCAGCAAACCAGGTAATCATCAGAGCAGACAAAAGTCCTCCAAAATCAAAATGTGCTCTCACAGAGAATTCAGAAAATGGCTCTTGATTGCTGCAAACAAAATGTGTCCAGAATTGAGAATGTTTTATCTCAGTTAAGCCTCGTAGCACCGATGCTTTCCTGTCTCTCACATACGTTATTTTAGCTCGAATATTACACAGAAAGTGTGCATTCTAAAGCAAATACTTGGCATTTATATAGACAGATACAGCTATTTTTCTTCACCAAAAGCAAAGTAAAGTGTTTTTGTCTTTGACATGTATCCTGTAGTGGAGAGAGTTGTCTTGAGAGGTGTTTAGTCTTTGAATCATTCCACTATCAAACCAAAGCAGAAGTTTTGTATATACATAAACAGTAACATGGACTTGCATCTTTCCTACTCTGCATCAACTCCAGTGAAATTGATGGGAAAGGAACCAACGTAGAAATCAAGTGATGCAGTAAAAAAAGTTAGGTTTAATATTTCTGAAACACAACGCTGACAGGGCACACGCCTCTCAAGACATTCTCCTGTTACCCAGCACCAAACTGGGTATTTCTGTGGCACGCTTTATACACAGCCACATACACGCTTCCTCCTGTTCCCACTCACTGATGCCATCAGAGAGAAAAGATCAGAGTAACCAAAAACCAGAGCTGAGAGCCCCTGAAGACATGCAGGACCTGCTGCAGTGAGGCACCACAGGGTGCATTGATAGATTTGACGGCCTGAAAAGAGCCAAACTCAGGAATTAACAGCTGAGAATTTAATTAAATCCTCCTAGATGTTCTTGAGCAGCTTTAAGAAAAACCCTTGTTTCTCTTCCTATAAAAAAAGTGTTCATCTTTGAAGCTTATAGCATGAGGCTTAACAGATTTATAATATCTACATTCTTTTACCCCAGGGAGTGCCCGAAAGCTAGAGCTGCGGATCAGGTTATACTGTCGCAGCGTCTTGTTGAACCACTGGATTCATCGAAGTGATTCTGCCTTTTGGTTGACTCGTATTTTAAAGCCGTGGCCCATGGTCAATCAAGCTCGCCTGCTGTATATCATCTTTGGGCCAGTGTCCTCTCTTGATGGCAAGTAGTTGGGGAGGGGAGGGAAGGGAGGGGGGGTAATTTTCAAAGTTTGGTCTCTGAGAATTAGATTTCCATGCAGGATGCAGCATTTCTGGAAACCAAACCTTATGCAAATAAATTGTAGTTGTATTGCCTAGAAAAAGTTGGTCTGCTTAACCCGACCTCACTAACATATATAAAATACAGAAATGATATATATGTGTGTATATATATATATATATATATATAAAAGTTACAATTCAGGTGAAGAAATTACACCTCTGTTCCTCTACTCTCCCCTGCTCTAAGTAGAGTTAGCTTGAATGTATTTCAAAGAAACACCTATTTCCCTGAAGAAAAGCACTTTCTCACTGAATTATCAGACCCAGGTTTCTTTAAATCACCCTTTGATTGCATTTATATAGACAGATACAGCTATTTTTCTTCACCAAAAGCAAAGTAAAGTGTTTTTGTCTTTGACATGTATCCTGTAGTGGAGAGAGTTGTCTTGAGAGGTGTTTAGTCTTTGAATCATTCCACTATCAAACCAAAGCAGAAGTTTTGTATATACATAAACAGTAACATGGACTTGCATCTTTCCTACTCTGCATCAACTCCAGTGAAATTGATGGGAAAGGGACCAACATAGAAATCAAGTGATGCAGTAAAAAAGTTAGGTTTAATATTTCTGAAACACAACGCTGACAGGGCACACACCTCTCAAGACATTCTCCTGTTACCCAGCACCAAACTGGGTATTTCTGTGGCACGCTTTATACACAGCCACATACACGCTTCCTCCTGTTCCCACTCACTGATGCCATCAGAGAGAAAAGATCAGAGTAACCAAAAACCAGAGCTGAGAGCCCCTGAAGACATGCAGGACCTGCTGCAGTGAGGCACCACAGGGTGCATTGATAGATTTGACGGCCTGAAAAGAGCCAAACTCAGGAATTAACAGCTGAGAATTTAATTAAATCCTCCTAGATGTTCTCGAGCAGCTTTAAGAAAAACCCTTGTTTCTCTTCCTATAAAAAAAGTGTTCATCTTTGAAGCTTATAGCATGAGGCTTAACAGATTTATAATATCTACATTCTTTTACCCCAGGGAGTGCCCGAAAGCTAGAGCTGCGGATCAGGTTATACTGTCGCAGCGTCTTGTTGAACCACTGGATTCATCGAAGTGATTCTGCCTTTTGGTTGACTCGTATTTTAAAGCCGTGGCCCATGGTCAATCAAGCTCGCCTGCTGTATATCATCTTTGGGCCAGTGTCCTCTCTTGATGGCAAGTAGTTGGGGAGGGGAGGGAAGGGAGGGGGGGTAATTTTCAAAGTTTGGTCTCTGAGAATTAGATTTCCATGCAGGATGCAGCATTTCTGGAAACCAAACCTTATGCAAATAAATTGTAGTTGTATTGCCTAGAAAAAGTTGGTCTGCTTAACCCGACCTCACTAACATATATAAAATACAGAAATGATATATATGTGTGTATATATATATATATATATATATAAAAGTTACAATTCAGGTGAAGAAATTACACCTCTGTTCCTCTACTCTCCCCTGCTCTAAGTAGAGTTAGCTTGAATGTATTTCAAAGAAACACCTATTTCCCTGAAGAAAAGCACTTTCTCACTGAATTATCAGACCCAGGTTTCTTTAAATCACCCTTTGATTTCCGCTGCAACTACCACTGTCCCTACAAAAGTGATGGAAAAGAATAATCTCACAATGACTGAGTCATGTTACCTGAATCCCCCTCCCCTGACTCTGCTCTAAGGCCCAGTTTATCACCTTCCTTGTTTTAAACAAACAAACAAAGATACTTTGTCACTTACTAGCAGTTGTGATTAATATATTGCTCAGGACATGTGGTTTGGCAGAAAATGATAGAAGCACCAACAGATGAGACCAGTCTGAAAGGTCTGGCAGATGCAATTAAGCTGCTGTATGATACAGAAGCTAGAGAATGGACAGCAGATGATGTTATCAGTCTTGTGGATGAGCTGTCAGGTGTGTTTTTGCCTTTATCATTAATCCATAGGATTATACGCTCACATCTCCTCCAAATCTGGCAACGAGTGTGTTTCAAACACACAGATTCCTTGGGAAACTGTAATATTCCTCCCAGTAGCTGTGGTGTAACTGGAAAAGTCGTTATGCTCGGGAGCCAGGCAGTAGCTGGGAGTGGGAGAAACCAGCCCAAATCCAGGCTGCCTTTCCCCAGCCTGAAATACTTTTGGAATCCACGCAAAGCTTTCAAATTCAAGTCTTGTCTAGCCATTATTGTCCAGGCCGTGTAAGCTGAAAACATAATGTTTGTTCAAGCCAAAATTCTACTGAACAACATTAATGGCTACACTGAAAGTTAGTTTTGGGTGAGAGCGTATCACGGAAGCTCTGGGGAAGAGCTCTAACAGTATTGCTGGTAGGAATTGCTGCAGTTGTATTCCAGAGGGTATTCCCTCACCGGCTCTGGTTGGTACCAAAGCCAACAAGTCGTAAATTCCCATCTTCCAGACTAGTTTTTGTGGCACTCCTTTCTTTCTGTTCAAAGACCACTAAAATCCTCTCTCTTTTATTACAAAGTTGTTCCCCGGGAGTGGCTCCTGGAGAACAACGCTCGGTTTCTCATCCTGAGCGGGAACAGCATTTGCTTCACTTTCATGGCCAGCAAAGCTGTGAACGGGAGGACCCTGGAGTTAGCCAGGCTTATGGTCTTCCTGGCCCTGGTGAGTACGAGCCAACACAGCAGGCTCCACTTTTTGAGCCTTTACCCCCAGATTTGCTTTCTCAGACTTGAAAGCTGTTTCCCCACCTACTCCTACAAACCAGGAGTAAGTCCAGCGAGGGGCTCCGTGCTCTACCACCCTCCGTTCCCTGTCCAAGCACATCTCCAAAGGTTGAGGAGTTCCTCCATTAGTGCACAAACAATAAAAACAACCTCTGTGTCCCCTTATAACAACCCCTAATTTTCCAGGCCACAGCTGCAAAAATGACCCAGCGCGGTACTGAGGGATATGGTGTAGGGGAGGACTTTGTAGAGTAGGGGAGATGGTTGGACTCGATGATCCCAAGGGTCTCTTCCAACCTCAATGATTCTATGGTTCTATGATAATAGTCAATTCTCAGATTTCATCTTGCCTTTTATAGCATTGGACTCATCCTAGAAGGTGTGTTTCTAATATTTCCTGTGCGTGCCAGGTGTGCGAGAAGGACCTGTACTGCATGGACTGGGCAGTGAAGATGATGCAGAAGGTCTGCAAAGTTTTCGGCACCCCGGCGGAGAGGAACAACTTCCTGCAGTGCGTGGAGAACGTCTTTGCTCACATGATCATGGACACGCTGCAGGCCGTGCTCTCGGGTAAGGCTGGAGCCCAGTGAGACCTCAAGCCACACAGTTAGAGGTGGCATCTCAGCCTGTCCTCCCCTCCCATGCCAGGCAGGGCAATACCCCAGCACCTGAGGTTTTTTGATAACACAAACCAATCCATCACGTGCCATAAATGGGAAAGACACTTATTTTAACCGATCTCTCGTGTCTAAGAGACGCCAGGCAGGGCAATACCTGAGGTTTTTTGATAACATAAACCAATCCATCATGTGCCGTAAATGGTAGAGACATTTATTTTAACCGATCTCTCGTGTCTAAGAGAATCATAGAATTGCCCAGGCTGGAAGGGACCTCCAAAGGCCATCTAGTCCGACCTCCCCGCAGTCAGCAGGGACACCCCCAACTAGACCAGGTTGCCCAGGGCTTTGTCGAACCTCTCCTTTAATATCTCCACTGAAGGGGCCTCAACCACCTCCCTGGGCAACCTGTTCCAGTGCTCCACCACCCTCACAGTGAAGAACCCTCTCCTCATCTCCAGTCTAAATCTGAGATTGCCAGAGCCACGGATGGGGACACCAACAGGCGTTTAAAATCCACCCCAGCAGCGCGTGGGGCCTGAGGTCCATCAGGGCTCTGTCTGAGCGTGGGCCCTGGGCTCCTGCCAGCCCCTGCAGCCCAAGGAGCTGCAGTCCCTCCCTGTCCACAGCTTGTCAGCCTTGATAAAACCCCCTGTCTGATGACGATTGCAAGCCATAAAACCAAACAGCCTGCTTGGTTAGCACAGCTTTGTGTCTCAGCACACAATTGCTCTTGTCCATCTCCGGACAAGCTGGTGAAGGAACTTTGGAGAGAGTCTCCCGTGTTATTCCCCAGCTGTCCTGCCATCAGGTGCAGGAGCTGAGGCCTCATAAATCTACGCAGAGGCTGCTGATTCAGCCTGTGCTGAAAGCACCGAATGAGGAAGATTTATCTTCAAAGAAGTCATTTAGTTTCACTAATCGTTTAAAAAAAATGGTTTTCTTTGCCCTGGTAGGGGACCGCGATGAAGAGGACAGCAGCTTCTTGAACTTGTTTCACCTCGTAAATGCACAAGCAAACTTCCACAAGGAGATCCTCTACCTGACCATGAGAGGCAACGGCAGCACCGCTTGAATTTTACAGACTCTTGCTCTATTCCTGCTGGATTTTTCTGGTGTTGGGTTGTTTTTTTTTTTCCCCCCAAATATTTGCAAAGCAGTATCCAACTATTTCTTGAATTTCCATCCTGGTAAGAGCTGGAGGAGTGGGTGACACACAGGTCAGCTGAGGGGGCTCAGGGAGCATGGGGGACCCCAGGGTCTGCAGGGGGAATTCTGTGCCCTTCGCTCCTCAGGGCCGTGCTCAGACACAGGGAGGAAACGGGCCAGGGGCCTCTGGTTTGGGAACATAAACCACATTCTTTTCCCACTGTGTATGTTTGCACACACAATAAAAATGACATGGTTTTCATATTTGATGTGCTACACAAATGGGAGAATGTTATCTTAGTTCAGAACCGAAAACATTTTGATCTTTTGATTTTGTTTTCTCTTGGGAACGGGGGGAGAAAGAGGCAGACATCATTAGAGCAGCTCAGCTCCATTTTTCCAGTTTGCCGGGGTCTCCCTCACTAACTCTTACACACTCCATAGATTGTAACTTCAGTTTTAGCAGAAAGAGGCGATTCCTGAAAGCAATTTAACTGCTTTGATCAAGCAGAGCAATTTTTTTCCCCCCTCAAAGCTACAGGTGCCTTTTAACCATCAAGCAGAAAAAATTTCAGATCCCTCTCCCTGCCTGGTGTGAGAAGTGAATATTAAAGTGTATTTGCCTTTGTAGGACTTTGCTAAGTTGAAGACACATGTTAAATGCTAAGATCACTGTTTCATTAAGGTATATAAATGTTTGCTACTCATTAGAGGTTTTGATTTTCTGCTCTATTGCCTTCAAACCAAAAAAAATGTAACGCATAATAAAAAGCACTTACTTTACGGTGCGCTGGTTAGAACACGGCGTGTGCTTCACGTTATTAAAGGGCCGCCTTCTCCCCCTGAACCACTTTCCAAAGGCTTCAGTGTTCCTTCAGCACCAGATTTCAGCTGCAGGGCCCCAGGTTTGGGTTTGGAGGCCCGGCTTCAGCTGCTGGAAAGGGCTAAATGGAGCTGATTTATCTCAGCTGCCCCCACTCCATGTCATCAGTAACGAGCTGACAGCTGCTCGGCCGTGGTTTCCTTGGAAGTTTGCACCTTAAAGGTTCTTGGGCCGTTTATCAAATATACACTTACGGACAGGATTTGGCTACTTTCAGGGATATAAACTTGCTGAGGCTCTTTGCGGCGAGCCGGTAGATGGCAGAGGTGAAACCTTCCCCAAGAGGAGTGTCCGCTCCCAACTCCCTTCTAACAGCCCTTTTTTCTCCCTGTTTGAAGGTTATATTTCAGAACACGCTGCAGTGCCGTGGCCGTGCTGCAACCTCCTATTATCTCTAAGGAAGCCAAACACCAGGCTCTGCCTGAAATGCAGTCAGTGAAACTGAAACCCTCCGAAACCAGCGCTAACGACCTCAAAACGTGAAGAGAAAGCAGCCGGGGAAAGGCTGGGGGGGAATCCCACAGCCCGGGTCGTGAGCTGGAATCGCTGCCAGGAAATATCCCTGGAATCCAGGGGGAGGGAGAGGGGCCTGGACCCACCGCCCGGACCCACCACCTCTCCTGGAGAACCCTGGGGCTGCTTCCCCCCTCCTCAGTGCCAGGGGCTCATGTCTCCCAGCACCCAGTGGCCACAAATCACAGCCCAGCACTAGGGGGGCCGTTGTGTCACCGCAGGGACACGGGAAAAGTCACTTCTTAAATTCACTGGTGGCCGGTGACAACCAGGAAACAGACACAGAATCCCAGAATCTTCTAGGTTGGAAGGGACCTTAAAGATCATCTTGTCCAACCGTCAACCTAATTTTGACAAAAATAGACACCCACACAACAAACAAGGAGCATCATCACTAAACCAGACCTCCCAGCACTACATCAACCCAGCTTTTGAACACCTCCAGGGATGGGGCCTCAACCCCCTCCCTGGGCAGCCCATTCCAATGGCTGAGAACCCTTTCAGTGAAAAAATTTCTCCTAATATCCAGCCTGAACCTCCCCTGGTGCAACTTGAGGCCGTTTCCTCTTGTCCTGTCGCCTGGGACTTGAGAAAAGAGACCGACCCCCACCTCTCTACACCCTCCTTTCAGGGAGTTGTAGAGAGCAATAAGGTCTCCCCTCAGCCTCCTCTTCTCCAGGCTGAATAACCCCAGCTCCCTCAGCCTCTCCTCATAAGACTTATTCTCCAGACCCCTCACCAGCTTTGTCACCCTTCTCTGGACCCGCTCCAGCCCCTCAATGTCAGCTCTGCCAGCACGAGCGGGTCAGTGCTGCACGGCTGCCAAGCATGAAATATTGATGATGTTATTAATTATTATCAACTGCTCTTTTTTTTAATTATTATTATTTTTCTTCCTCACACAACAGTTCAGCAAGCATTTGGCCTGTGGTGTTGGTACACACGCCGGTGTTTCCTCCAGGCGAGGAGGAACCTTCCTCCCCAGGGGATCAAAGCTCCAACCCACCGGAGCGGAACCTCCCCAACCAGTTTTGTTCAAACTGGAAAAATGACACCGACCTTTGCCGGTATCGCCCCCGGATCGGCTCTCCCAATTAAACAACCCTGGGCTAATCACGTCCAGGTGGGTGCCCGCGGGCGGCACCGTGTGCCCGCCCAGCCGGGACAGTGAGACTTGGGAAAATGGTGGGGTTTTTTTCTTCTTCTTCTTCTTCTGCCAAATTTTAACCGTTGCCGTGGGGAGTCGATAAAACCCTCCCGGGCAAGAAGCGAACGAGGAAGCTGAGATTGGGTGCTCAATCAGCTCAATCCCAGGGTGGAACTGGCTGATTTGGGGCATGGAGGAAGGGGTTAGCACGCAGGGCTGGGGGGGTTGTAAGGCCCCATGGGGAGGGGGGGGAGAGGAGAGTTCAGGGTAAGAGAAAATGGTTGTTTCTGGTTTCACACTCAGCTGAGTTTCCATTCCATGCATTCCTCGTTACTCACCCTCTTAATCACCGCAGATGTTGACATCAGATACAGACTCACCAAGCAGAGCTTATTGAGAACATGACTTATGCTCCCAGAAATTCCTCCCAGAATATTTCAAGCTTCTGATTTCCGACTATATTTGGTGGTGGTGGAGCCAGGAGAAGCTTTTTGGTATCTCCAGGGCTCGGTGACGAGGGGCCACCCGGGCCGAGGGCTGGTGCAACTGGGAACACCAGTGCTGGGGAGCAAAGTCACCAATCTCCTGTTTCTCCCAGGAGTTTTACTGACAGGAGATCGCAGTGTCAAGTATCCAACTGGCAGCACCGACCACATCCCGCGTTCCCAGACTCGGAAATCCCTTTTCTTTCTGGAAACACCGTTTTCTGAAAGTCTTATCAGCCCATTCCTGCCGGCCCCGACCCTCCCAGGGTCCTGTTCTCTCCCACCCACTCCTGTGACGGTGCCACAGGTAACTCATGGGACACCAGTTTTCCCCATTTCAGGTGCTTATTGCTTTTTTAAAAAATAATATTCCTGGGAGAGACCAGGCACATTGAAAATTTTGACTTTGGGGGGGATGAAACCTTCAGTCTGAATCCAGCATCGCGTGTGGCTGGGAGAGGGGCTTCATAAAAGGACAGGAAAAAATCCCTCCGATGCCCCAAATCCCTCCCCAGACCACTCAGAGCTGGGGGGAAATGAAGCTCTGAAATGTTCTTTCCATCCCACAGAAATTTCCATCGTATTAAAAAATGTTCTTTTTTTTTTTTTTTTCCTTGTCTATGCTGGGATGAACTGAGACTTCCCAGAGCTTCCCTGGAGACGAGGGGACCTGTGTGAGAGAGACCCACAGTGGGGTCCCCACGGTGCCTGGAGTGGGGACCCCTCTGCAGGAGCTGCTGCTCACGCTGGGGGACACGGAGGTGTCTCCTCCTGGTTTGCTGGTGCCTCCTCCTTCTCGGGGCTCAGGGGGTGCCCTGCCAGGGCTGGAGCCCCCCTGCTGTGGGGACAGGCTGAGAGAGTTGGGGGGTTCAGCCTGGAGAAGAGAAGGCTCCAGGGAGACCTTAGAGCCCCTTCCAGTCCCTCAAGGAGCTCCAGGAGAGATGGGGAGGACTCTGGATGAGGGAGGGGAGCCCTAGGAGGAGGGGGAAGGGTTTGACACCAAAAGAGGGGAGATTGAAATGAGATTTAGGAAGAAATTCTTCATTGTGAGGGTGGTGAGAGCCTGGCCCAGGTTGCCCAGAGAAGCTGTGGCTGCCCCATCCCTGGAGGGGTTCAAGGGCAGGTTGGAGGGGGCTTGGAGCAACCTGGGCTGGTGGGAGGCGTCCCTGCCCAGGGCAGGGGGTGGCACTGGGGGGGCTTTAAGGTCCCTTCCCACCCAAACCATTCCATGGTCCCATGATCTCTCCGCAGAAGCAGGGTTTGCTCCCGGAGCCGAGTGTGCTCCGGCCCCTCGGTCGATGCGTTTCAGCCGAGTCACCACCAGCTCTCTCTCCCGTGTCATTCCTCTCTTTATTTTACTTCCTTCAACATTTTTCGTTAAAAATATAAGTGCTTATTCTAAAATTAAACCCGACCGACCTCGGAAGCGCTCGTCCCGGGGGGCTACGCCAGGCGGTTGGGGCAGGACCCTTCGCACCCCCCCCCGGGGATGCCACCTGTGTCACCAGGAACAACTGGGGTCTCGGTAGTGGGGTGTCACCTCTCCCCTGACACCCCATCTCCCTCCTGAGCCCCCCCCTCGCCGCCGGTGCCCCCCCCAGTGCAGCTCCTCGCCCCACAGAGGGTTAATCCTTTTCCAGAAGGCTCCGAGGGACCAGTCTGTGGAAGAGAAAGGAGATGCTGGTCTGAGCTGGATCCCAGCCTTGAGGGGGGACCCCGAGGTGGTGAAGGGTGGGACTGGCAGCAGCCCCCCCCTCCCTTCACCCAGAAACACCCCCCTCCCCTTTTTTCCTCCTTTTAAAATGATGCAACCCCCACCCCTTCTTGCTTCTCCCTGACGCTGTTGTATTTCTCTCCCCCCCGGCGCCCTCAAAGGCTGAGACAGAGCAGCTTTTCCCAAGGGGAAGGGGCTGGCAAACCCCTCGGGGAGCCCCCAGCAGCTGCACAATGGCTGGAAAAACCTTCTGGGGGGGGCAAGGTGACCCCCCAACATTTATAACCCAAACCCTGGTGCCCGCGTTCCAGCCCCAAGCAGGAAACAGCCGGGCGGAGGGAGCAGCAGCCAAAGACAACAGCATGGAAAAATCAGAATTATTCCTTTCCCCCCCCCCACCCCCCAACTCTCCTTCCCCAGCAATGAAATCCTGGCTCACCTGGGGGATGCTCGGATGGCAGGGCTGAGGCTCAGCCCCATCTTCCTCCCCTGCCCGGCTCTAGAGCATGTAGATGATGTAGGAGAGGACCACCAGGCCGATGATGGCGAAAAACATCAGGATGAAAATATCCAGCATGGCGAGTCTGGGGGAAAGGGGGGGGACGCTGGGCAGAGAGAGCGGCCGCTGGGCTCCACGGGGACCCCCCCCCACTTTTCCCCCCTCCCTCTCCGTGTCCTTCCCCTCCCCGGCGGCTCCGCTCAGGATGGAGAGATGATGCCGGAGCTGATGGAGCCGCTTCCCAGCCGGCGGGTGGAAAATAAAGGGATAATAAACCCGGGCGGGCAGATGGGATTTCAGCCCCCACCGCCGCCCTAAAGCTGCTTTGCCCCCGCTTCCTCCTGCCCAAACCACTGCCCAGCTTGATGGGGGGGGGGGCTGATGGTGATGCCACCCCCCCATCCCCCTGGTTTTCTTCCCAAAGGGCCCACCCTTTGGGAAAGAAGCAAAAAATGATCAGGGTTAGTTTGTGGCAAGAATTTCATAGAACATGTCATTCTGGTTGGAGAAGAGATTTGGAAATGTGGACCTTAAAAGCCCAAAAAGGGTCAGCCAGGACCACTCTGAACTCTCGCCTTCAGGAGCTGGGTCCCCCCCCGGGTACCACAGCACCGCTGTCCCTGTCACCCCCCTGCTTCAGGGGGGGTTTAGAGCAATAAGGGTTAAAATCAGCAGCGACTGCCCCAGGCACCCTTTTTATTCTGATTTTTTTTTTTTTTAGCTTAGCGCTGCAGAGGAAAATAGCATCCTTTTCCACGCATCTTCAAGGTGGGTTTTTTTACCCCCCCCCCGCTGCTAAAAGCTGTCATTGCTGAAAAATCCCCCCTTGAGGCTCCGAAGGCTTCGAACTTGTCTTAAAGCCAAGCCAAGAGCAAGGGAGGAGGCAAAAAGCCACATCCCAGGGTCACCAGTGTCTCCCACTCCCAGGAGAGCCCGGCAGAGACGAGGACCCAGCTCCAACAGCCCCCCCAAAGCCCCCAAACCGTGTCCCAAGGGAGGGAGGAAAACGGCCAGAAAAGCCACCGCAATCAAACCCAGCACAATCGGCAGGTAAAAATTATACTTTTATTTTTAATTCGAGTAAACCGGGGAAGAGAATCAGTCGGTTTGTTCCATTCGATGGTTCAGTTAAAAAGGCCAAATAACATTTTTTTGTTGTGTTTTTTGATTTTTTTTTTAATTGGTGGGTGCTCAACCCGACGGGGAATAAGGAGTACACGAGGACAAACCCCAATCAAGCGACGGATCCAGAAGAAAAAACACGTTCTAAAGCTCAGCACAACCAGGGAAGCTGGGATGGACGAGGTTCTATTTTACATGTGATGAGAAGCAATTCAGCTTGGAATTTTTCTTTCCTTTTTTTTTTTTCTTTCCTTTTTTTCTTTATTTTTTTTTTTACTATTTTATTCATTTCTTTATTTTAAATACAGGTTTAGGTGCTTTTCAGCTATGAAAAAAGGCAAAAAAGTGCATAAGTCGAGAGAAAAGGCAGACCGACGGGGAGTAAGGAGTACACGAGGACAAACCCCAATCAAGCGACGGATCCAGAAGAAAAAACACGTTCTAAAGCTCAGCACAACCAGGGAAGCTGGGATGGACGAGGTTCTATTTTACATGTGATGAGAAGCAATTCAGCTTGGAATTTTTCTTTCCTTTTTTTTTTTTCTTTCCTTTTTTTCTTTATTTTTTTTTTTACTATTTTATTCATTTCTTTATTTTAAATACAGGTTTAGGTGCTTTTCAGCTATGAAAAAAGGCAAAAAAGTGCATAAGTCGAGAGAAAAGGCAGAAATCAAGCAGTAAGAGGTTTGTTTCCCACAG